ATACAACGTTGGGTAAGATACTTACCTCAAAATCCCCCAATCAATACTCTAAAGTAGCTTTCCCTTTACAATTCACCTCCGCTTAGCTCAAATCTAATCAAAATCAACTCAATAACATCAAATAATGTAAAAGAAATCAATTCCAATAATTAAAGCTATGATCTTTACCCAATACCTCAAAAGTCAACAAAAGTCAACCTTGAGCCCTCCCGGTCAAAACCTCGGTCCAAGGGTAGATTTCGACAACCCATAATCCCACGAGTCCATATATGTAATTTATTTCAAATTCCGAGTCTAAATCTACTCTCAAAACTCAAATTCTCATTTTTCAAAATATAGACAAAGTTTCCCAAAATTTCACTTTGATTCTCATAATTTTGATGTTAAAACTCACATATAATCATGTAAAATAGTTGAAAATTGATCAAAATCACTTACCCAATGATTGTAGATGAAAACCGCTATTCCAAATCGCCTCCTACCGAGTCTGGGGTTCCAAAATATGAAAAAGAGACCAGTCTCCTGTCCCTTAGCTTTTATGTCCAGTCGCAAGTGTCACAATTGCGACCCCGGGTTAGCAAATGCGAACCTAACAAATGCGAGGAAATGATCGCAAAAGCGAAGCACCTCACACCTGTGTTCTCGTAATTACGATGAATGGTGCGCAATTGTGAACATGGGACACTTCGCAAATGCGACCCTTAAGATTGCGAATGCGACAAGCTCACCCATCCCCCCCCACCCCCCCCCCCCCATCGCAAGTGTGAACTCTAGGTTCGAAAATGCGGACCTGGCAGACTTAGCCTAATATCGCAAATGCGACATATATTTCGGAAATGTGAGACCTACAATACCTAATCAAAACCGGCAACTAAAACTCTTTCAAACACTCCGGAAAGTGTCTGAAACTCATCCGAGTCCTCGGGGCTCGAAACCAAATATCAACACAAGTCTAGAAACATAACCCAAACTCGCTCACACGATCAAATCATCAAATTAATGTCCGAAGCCACGAATCCGACCTCCAAAACACATGAAATCAACATGATATTCACGAACTTCTAAAATCATAACTGCACGCCCGATTCCTATTAAATCAACTCCGTACGATGCCAATCTTTGCGAACTAGCAAAATAAAACTATTCCAAGTCCCGAAACAGAAATCTAAACATGATAGCTATGAAGTCAACCTACGGTCAAACTAATCAAAATCCTAAGCCTTTAAATTGCCAACCTTCAGCAAAACAACACAAATCAACTTAGGGACCTCTGAATTTGATTCCGGGAATACGTCCAAGTCCAAAATCAAGATACGAACCTATTGGAGCCATCAAAAGACCGTAATGGGGTCATGTTCACAAAGTCAAACCTTGGTCAACATTTTCAACTTACGCTTCTAATGTGAGAATCATTCATCCAAATTTATTCTGAATCATCCGAAAATCAAATCCGACCATGCACGCAAGACATAATACACAATATCAAGATTCTCTAGACCTCGAACCACTGAATGGAATCTTAAAGCTCAAAATGACCGGTCAGGTCGTTACATTCTCCCCCTCTTAAAGAAACATTCGTCCTCGAACGTGCCAAGAGCCTTTCCCAAGCCATCAATTCACGGTATAAACTCTCCATACACATACACATGGGTGATCCTACGTCACACCAATCCACATAAGCCCGACAACATCATCCCAACCGAAGATTATTCCTTCTACTCAAGCCTATGAGCCTTGTAGTAAATTTTTTCACATCCACTAAGCGCCCTATTATCACACAAACACAGTGTAAACTCCTCAACTAGCTAAAACAACTCAGGCATACACCCACAAGGTATAACCACATGATGTAACATATCATCCATATGCCCATAGCAACAACTCTACCACAATAGCTACCCATTATCAAGATCGGTACCGGTAAAAAAACTCATATCGACTAGAACCTTGTTCCAAACCTTCAGAACGGTGCAAATAATGCAAGAAACATGTAAAACTCATAACTACTCATCCGATCAACAAGCCACATCAAACGCCACCTGGGCATATACATCGCAATCCAAACCCAACTAGCATAACTCGAATATGACTAAATATAAAAAGTGGAACACATGAGAGAACTGTCAAAAAAGCCAAATAGGCACAATTCCCACCGATACCATATTGTAGATCCAATGCACAAGGAAGAAGCAGGACACATGCAACAGCCACAACAAATCTTGTCTCACCATGACCTCATTGTAGCACACAGCCCGATACAAACACACCTATGCATAAAGAAAGCCAGGTCCCCATCCTCCACTCAGAATCATGAGTAAGATAAATATCTCAGCAACTAAACCACTCTAATAACTCAATCACGTAGATCCAAATCCACAACATGTAACAGACTTCCATACTCGTTTTAGAAGCTTCAAGTTGGAAGAGTTGACCAAGGTTTGACTTAGGGTAAACACACTCTAAATCGGGTTCTGATTGTTCGATAGGTGCGTATGATGATTTTGGAATATTTTGTATGTTCGGAATTGGTTTTGGAGATCGACAGTATTTGTCGAAAGTTGGCAATTTGAAGAACTTAAGAGTTCATAAGTTTAACCAAGAGTTGACTTTGATATTATTGGACTCCAATTGGTGTTTTGAGACTTTAGATAGGTCTATATAGTTGAATTGAAATTGTGTGCAAAGTTTGATAGTAATACGAAGTGTTTAAGTGTGATTCAGAGACTCTTTTGAAAGAATGAAAATGTAACAACTTTAGATAAATTCTATTCGGTTTAAGCCTCAATTCTTTGTTGTGATATTCCCGTAGGTACTTGCTGGTGTGATTGAATAGGGTTTCGAGGGGCTCAGGTGTGTTTTGGATTATTGGTTGAGAAAATAGTTAAGTTACGGATTTGAAGTTTGACCATGGTCAATATCGGGTCAAGATGACCTATTTTCGGTGTTTTGAGTGCGCTAGCAGGTTCGTAGCATGTTTTATGATTAAAATGCATATATGGTTTGTGTTCGGAAGGTTCCGAATGAGTTTTGGGTGCTAAAACGAAGATTTTCTTATTGCTGTTTTTTTGTGTGCAAGCAATTACAAAAATACCATTTATATCCCTGAAATTTTCAGATATCTTTTAAAACTTCAAAATATCATATCTCCCTCATTTTAAGGCCAAATTGGGTGATTCAAGAGGCTATCTTCGGTGTACTATCACAAAATCATGTTGGACTTATCAAACATGAATTTTGGGATTATATAGGACCTTATTCCAGGTGGGACGGCTGTTGCGTTTTTTTTTCTTGTTTCGAAATTTAGTTACTTATTTTCATAAGGTTTTGGAGCTCGGTTTTGGGCAACTTTGGAGGGAATTTTTACTACTTGGATTGGGGTAAGTATTTTTAACTCGAATTTGTTATTATTTCATGATTCCTACCTCAATTTTAGTGTTTGATGAATGATTTGAATTGGAGAAATTGGGGATTTTAGTAAAACCTTTCTAAAACATATATTGATGGTTTGAAGGCCGATTTGAGGTCGGAATTGAATGATTTTGGTATGGTTGGACTCATATCGGAATGGGTGCTTGGAATTTGTAAGTTTTTCGGGTTCCGAGGTGCTAGCCTGGGTTTGACTTTTTTATTTTAGTTAAATATCGAATCTTTATTATCCGGAATTATTTCCTATGGCTTTATCTTGGCTAGATTCGAGCCGTCTGGAAGTGGACTTGAGTTGGAAGGGCTTATTAGTAGATTGATTTAGCTTGTTTGAGATAAATATCTTGCCTAACTTTGTGTGGGGGAACTACTCCTTAGGATTGGATTTGATTGAACTATTTTATTATGTGAAAGACGCGTACATGAGGTGACAACCGTGTATACATGCTTATATGTGAAAATTGACCGGATTTAGACTCTTAGGCTACTTATAATTATTTAATTAAAGTTGTTACTAATTGTTCTATCTTAAGTTGTAAGTTTATTCTTACGTGTTTTAATTGAAGTTGTTATTACATGTTCTAGTTTCCATTGTCGAGTTTTCCCTTATATGCATTGAATAGTAGTTGTTGTTACATGCTATTCTTTCCATAGTCGAGTTATTCTCATGCAATTGGTTGTAGTTGATATTTCATGCTATCTCTTTCATTGTTAAGCTTAATTTATGCATTAGAATTTGAAGTTGCCATTTCATGAAAATATCTTCCTCGTTGATCTATTGAGGTTGTGGTTGTTGAAGAGCTATTAACAATTTGTGGTTGGAGTTGTTGATTATTGGGATATCTTTCCTTGTTGAGTTGTTCCTCATTCATTTTGTTATTTTTAGATTCTTGTACATATTGTGGTTGAGTCGTGGGCTATGTGTTGTGGTAACATTGGTATTGTTGATTTTGGAGATATTGTAGCATATGGGCACGTGTGGTGCGAGTTAATTATTGTGATGTGATATTGAAGCGCATGCGGCAGTATAAGGATAGGGGTTGATGTGCAAGAGGAGATATAAGGTGGCATTTATACAGTGGTTTCTAGTAAGAGAATTACTTGAGGCCACGTGGTGAGATAAGGGGGCTAAAGCGCATGTAGCTATTTCGGGAAAAATGTTCTTAAAAATAAATGCAAGGCTCACGAGACGATATAAAGAAGATTGTGATTGTGACTTGTGATATGTGATTTTGAGGCGTGGTACCTCGTTTGTGATTCTTATAGTACATTCTATATTGGAACGACTTCTTGATTGAACGGTTATTAAGTTTCCTTAAAATACTTGATGTGTATTTTGATTGTATTTGGTTATTTGTTGATATCCTTGTGTTGGAAACATTGCGACTTCTTGTGTTAGTCATGCATTTTATGTGATTTGATATGTTGCTTAAAGGTGCTAATTTGTGTCACGACCCAATAGGTCGTGACTACACCTAACGCTGCCGTTAGGCAAGCCCACAAGTGAACCTATAATTTAGTTATCTCTTTTTAACTTTTAAAACAAGATTTCCTTTTTAAAATAACGATATAAGTAAGGTCTCATGCAACCATACATACTCTTTTCTCAATAAAAATACCAGTGTGAGAAATGCATCAACTGTAGAGACAGTAATGATAAGTACAACATTACATAAATGCTAAAATTCAAGCCCCCAAAATCCGGTGCCACAAGTGCATGAGCAATCTAGAGAATATACAAAACTAATACAACTATTATCTGAAGGGTAATGGACAGAACTAATAAACAAGATAGAGGGAGACTCCGGTGCTACTGATCGGATCAAGGCAGGCATCTCACCACTAAGTCTCCGTAGAAGTGCGGCTACGCGTCTGTGTGAACACTGGTAGTACATGTCTCAGTACCTGCACATTCAGTGTAGAAGTGTAGTGTAGGTACATAAAACAACACATACCCAGTAAGTATTGTCACACCTCCTTTTTCCTTACTACACCCCCAAGAAGGTATAATAAAAGGGAGTTATTTCCAACTTGAAGTGACAATCGAAACGGGATTCATTTTATAAAAATCAGAGTCGCCACTTGGGAGATTTATGGTGTCCCAAGTCACCGGTTTAATCCCGAATCGAGGAAAAGAATGACTCTGTTATTATAGTATGCGAACCAAAAATCCGGGTAAGGAATTCTGTTAACCCGGGAGAAGGTGTTAGGCACTCCCGAGTTCTGTGGTTCGAGCACGGTCGCTTTGATCCAACTTGGCTTATTAAATTATTTAATTACTGGTTTTAGAACCTAGATGCTTTTGCTTCTTTCACCGCTTTTAATTAGAAAAATTATCTTGAAACGGGTTACGCGTACGTATACTCGCCCGTTTGGTGCGTCAAAAATCATGTCACGCGAACGTGTCCACAATTAATAACGCTCAATTATTATTAAGAAAAAGTTTGGGCCGAAGTTGCGCGAACGCATACTCCGGTTTTGTTTTTAGGAATCGTAATCATGTCACGCGAACGTGTTTACAACCACGATAATAGATCAAAAGTACACTCAAAAATATAAGCATTGTTCATTACTCTTCCTAAAAACTTTGAGATTATTGGGGCATACATTATGGAACTTATGGTAGAAGGAATAAAGTAAATTATTATGGAAGGAAGCTTTTCTGAAAAGTGTCGCCAAGAGCAATCCCCCTTATATGAATCAACCAAACTACCCAAATCCTTTTATTTCTTATTAAGCCAAAACCAGAATCCTTTTATATAAGAAAGTTCAAAATCCAAGCCTCTATATCTTCAACCGATCATGAACTCATGTAACATTTAAAACTTCCTAAACATTGGTCAAGCTAAATGATTTAAGAATCAAACCTATTTTTCCAAACAGCACTTCATAATTAATGCCTAGAATTTATCTTTTGGATACAGATATTCAAACACAAATTTAGGTATGAACAAAATAGCTCATTAGCAAGTTCAATCACCAGAATAAATAGATAAACAAAAAGTTAAAATGAAATCGGCTACATGATAAAGAAATATAGAATTCCAATAACAAACCAACAATAATATTATAAGCTTGCTTAACAGTGAAAGAAAATAAATAAGATAGGGATGGACCTTTGGTATAAATCAACCAAATCGGAACTTCAAGAGGCTAAACAAACTTGATGATTCCTGACCGGAGCTTTCGACGGTGAACCCGGACGAAACCGGCTACTCAAGACCTCAACGGCAACAACGACAGTACCTCGGCGTGCAACTGAACGGAGACTCGGACAATAACTTTTCCGGATCTGTCCGTTTATCTCTAATGCGAACAATTTTTAATCCAAAAAAAACTACGCCGGTTAAACTCGAACCTATTGAACCCAACTCGAAATTCTAGCTAAACCATGGGGTGTTCGAGATCGAAAGAACTCTTGGCCGTGACAAGGCTCAGACTTTGATATTACCAAAACAGAAGAAAACCAAAGAATAAAAGAGGGGTTGCGATCGATTTGGATGTTTTTACAAAAGAAAGAGAGGTGCGCCTTTGAAAGAATAAGAATTAATGACTTTGAACGAATTCTCACTATATAGATGGAAAAATGAAAAGGGTTTGTTCTGCTACACGGAATCAATTGGAGAAAGTTTGAATTTACAGGAAACTACAAGTATTTGCTTAGTTTCGTACTCTGTTTTTCTTTTAGAATTGGAGACGATGGTCTCCTCTTCATTTTCTGGAAGCTCCGCCGCTTTGTTTTTTTAGTCTAGATCTAGGAATTGAAAAACTTAGGGTAGGGTTTCTATAATTGGGTATTTTATATGGAAGTGGAAGGAATGATGACCATTGGATAAGAAGGAAATAGATGGCTAGGATTAAATCTTGCATTTAAGTGGGCTAATGGATTGGGAAGAATGGACTAAGGGTAATTGGGTTGGACCATGTCTTTTGGGTTTGAACATAGGCTAAAAAGACCAAATACTGCAATGTATCTATAAAAATATAAAAATCACTCTAAATTAAAATAAACTAATATAACACTAAATACTACGAGTGAAACTATTATTTTTTTTTTTTGGTATATTCAAATGTTATAATACTATAAATATAAATATACTAATTGTCTTTAACCTAAAGATGAAAATATTTTTTTTTTTTTGTAATTTTTTTTTTGTGATAAAATAAAGTAAAGAAGTCAAAAATAGTTGAAATAGCTATATTAAGCCTAAATTAAATATTTACGTGCTAAAATATAAAAAATCTTGGGGAGGGTAAAAAATCACATGTCTATAAGTATCTAGACTAACCTCGAAGAAGTAGTGACGAGGGGTTAACTTGACACTTACTAGTGGTAAAATAGTAATAAAAATACATAAAGTAGACATGGAGAATGTACAACAACTAGGAATGAAACTAATAAAAGTAATTACAATAATTCCACACATTAGTCTATATCAAATAACTGAACATGTCATAACCGGCCTTGAAGGCGCTAACTCAACTATTACCAAACCAAATTCAGTCTCAAGTATTAAGCACTATGATGCCAAGGCGAATGGCCCGATCCCATAGGAATAGTGGTACTCAATACTGCCGAGGAAAACGACCCGATCCCATAAAATAGTGTTACCATACTGTCGAGGCGAATGACCCGATCCCATATGACTAATTTAATTCACTACCGAGGCGAATGGCCTGATCCCACAAGAGTAGAGAAATTTACATCGCTCGCGAAATACATGCGAGTCGAGAAGACACGGATCCATAGTTCATCAAGTATTTCCCAATTTTTCCAAAGTAAGAGGCTAAATCAATATCTTTGTTCTAATTCTTGATCTCAGCATAATCAAGGAAATCATTACACGGGATAGATACAAATAACACGGTTAAGACATGATGTGAATCTAAGTCTACCCGGACATAACATGGATATAGTTACGTACGGACTCTCGTCACCTCGTGCGTACGTAGCTCCTCATAACAAGTAGCACACAACAGTTAATACACCTAAGGGGATAAATTCTCTTTTACATGGTTAGGAAAGAGACTTACCTCGCTTTCAAGTCCACTAACCGGCTAATTAACCTCACTAGAACTCCCAGCCGACCAGTCCGAAGCTAAGCAAAAGTCGTATAAACTAATCAATAAGTGCTCAAAAGTTCATAATTTAACCACTAGGGTAATTACCCAACCCAATTTGGAAGGTTCCTAAAATTTACCCCTAAGTCCACGCGCCCTGATTCTGAAAATTTTCGCAAATAAATATTGCTCATAACCTTACGAATAAAAATATATAATTTTTACTCAATTTCATAATCATTTTTGTGGTTGAATCCCATTTTTATCAAATCTTAAGTTTTTTAACAAACTCCTAAAGTTTCCAAATTTTACCTGTTAAAATCTACCCATAATCTATGTTTTTAAGTTAAATTAGGTATAAATTACTCACCTTACAATGCTTGATGAAAACCCTTCTCCAAGAAGCTCCAAATTCGGATCACACAAGTGAGAAATGGAAAAAATAAGCCTAAGTCCCGTCTTTAAAATGTTTTCTGCCCACTGATTCCTTCTTCGCAATCGCGATAGGGCACTCGCAATCGTGAAGGCAAAATGCCAAGCCCAAGAAAAATGCCACGCCGAAGAAAAATGCCCTTCGCGAACGTGAGACCATCCTTACCAATGCGAATTCTTAGCTTACATGACCATTGCGAACGTGACGGCCTCAACGCGAACGCGAAGGCCATCGACTGACCCCCGCCCCGACTGGCCTCAGATTTCGGGAATGCGAAGGCCAATGGCACAGAGCATTGCAAATGTGGTCCTCTTCTCACGAACTCATACAAAAAAATGCCACCCAGCCCCATTCCTTCATCGCGAACGCAACTCCTTCTCCGCATTCGCGAAGAAGGAAACCAAAACAACAATTTCTAGTGTTTCCTACTTAGCTCCGGGTGGTCCGAAACACACCCAAGCCACCCGAGACCCCGTTCAATTGCACAAACAAGTCCATCAACATAATTTAGACCTGCTCGAAACCTCGGAAGACTTAAAACAACATCAAACCAAGAATTACACCCCAAAACCAAATTGAATCAACTTATGAATTTCAAACTTTTCAATTATCTCCGAACGCGTCGAATCACGCTTAGACAGCTCGAAATGACATCAAATTTTACGTACAAGTCATAAATCACCATACGGATATATTCCTAGTCTTGGAATCCCAAACGGACCTCGATAACACCAAAGTCTACTCCAAACAAAATTTAAAGAACTAGAAAACCTTCCATGAGCTAACTTTCAACATTAAGTGCCGAAACGCTCACGGATCACCCGAAACCCGACCTGAACACATGTCCAAGGCCAAAATCATCATACAAAACCTATTGGAACCATCAAATCCCGGTTCCAAGGTCGTTTACTCAAAATGTTGACTCAAGTCAAAGTTAGCCATCTTAAGCCACTATTTAGGAATTATGTTTTCCAATTTCTACCTGAACCATTCCAAACCTAAACAAGCCATCCCCGCAAGCCATAAACAGTAAAAGCACATAGGGGGATTCTCAATTAGGAAAACGGGGATCTAGAAAGCAAAATGACCGGCCGGGTTGTTACATTCTCCACCTCATAAATAAATGTTCGTCCGCGAACGGGTCTAGAATCATACCTGGAGTGCTGAATAAGTGTGGATATCAGCTTCGCATGTCCTTCTCGGTCTCCCAAGTAGCCTCCTCGACTGGTTGAATCCTCCACTAGACCTTTAGCGCATAAATCTTCTTATACCTCAAGCGGCGAACCTGCCTGTCAACAATGGCTACTGGCTCCCCCTCATAAACCAAGCTCTCATCTAACTGAACCCTGATGTAATCTAACAAATGCAACCGGTCGGCATTGTACTCCCCATCTTGCCTCAACACCTCAAATGGAACAATAAACTTCGAACTCAGCTTGCCCTTCTTCCTGAACCTCATGATACCCTTCATCGATGAGACTTTCAAGAGAACCTTCTCGCCCACCATATATGCTAGACTGATAATTGTTGTTATAAGCATACCTGGACAAAGGCAAGAATCGATCCCACTGCCCTCCAAAGTGAATCACACATGATCTGAGCGTATCCTCTAGAATATGAATTGTCTGCTCCGACTGCCCGTTGGTCTACGGATGAAAGGCTCTGCTGAGCTCAACCCGGGTGCCCAAATCGCTCTGTACTTCCCTCCTGAAATGCAAAGTGAACTGAGGGCCTCTATCTAAAATGATAGAAACAGGCATACCATGGAATTGAAAAATCTCTTGAATGTAAATCTGGGCCAATCTCTCTGAAGAGTATGTAGTCACAACCGAAATAAAGTGTGTCGACTTGGTCAGCCTGTCGACAATGACCCAAACAGCATCAAACTCCTCAACGTCTGCAGCAACCCAACTACAAAGTCCATAGTAATGTGCCCCCATTTCCATTCCGGTATAACCATCTGCTGGAGTAGGCCACCTAGCCTCTGGTGCTCATACTTAATCTGCTGACAGTTTAGACATCTCGCTACATACTTAACTATGTCCTTTCTCATCCACCACCACCAATAATGCTGCCTCAGGTCGCGATACATCTTTGTAGCATCTGGATGAATATAATATTGAGAACCGTGTGCCTCCTCTAGAATCTTCTCCCTCACGCTATCAACATTAGGAACACATAGGGACCTTGGAGTCACAGAACACCATCCTCACTGATAGTAACCTCCTTGGTATCACCTTGTAGTACCATCTCTCTAAGAACTAGCAAGTGCAGACCATCATACTGACAAGCCTTGATCCGCTCAAGTAATAAAGACTGAGCCATGACACATGCAAGAACTCGACTGGGCTTTGAAATATCCAACCTCTCAAGTCTGTTAGCTAAGGACTGAATCTCCAAAACCAATGGCCTCTCCTCTACCAAAATAAATGCCAAACTACCCATACTCTCGGCCTTTCTTCTCAAGGCATCCACAACCAAATTTGCCTTTCCCGGATGGTAATATCATAGTCCTTCAGTAACTCAAGCCACTTATGCTGCCTCAAATTAAGGTCCCTTTTATGCTGCAAACTACGGTGATCAGTGTTAACCTTATAGGACACCCCATAAATATAATGCCTCCGGATCTTGAGAGCATGAACTATCGCGGCCAACTCCAAATCATGTACGAGGTAATTCTTCTCGTGGCGCTTCAGCAGACATAAAGCATATACAATAACTCGCCCCTCCTGCATAATACACAACTCAAGCCAATTCGCGAAGTGTTGCAACACACGATATACATCCCTGAACCGGAGGGCAACACAAACACAGGTATTGTAGTCAAAGCGGTCTTGAGCTTTTGGAAGCTCGCCTCACAATCATCGGACAATCTGAATGGAACACCATTCTGGGTCAATCTAGTCAAAGATGTTGCAATAGAAGGGAAGCCCTCTACAAATCGACGATAATAACCTTATAACCCTAAGAAACTTCTGATCTTGGTCGCTGAGGTTGGACAAGGCCAACTCTGGACTGCCTCGATCCACCTTAATACCCTCAAGTGATACAACATGACCCAAGAAAGCCTTGGAATCCAACCAGAACTTGCACTTGGAGAACTTAGCATATAGTTTCAGTTCCCGCAAGGTCTAAAGCATTAACCTCAAATGCTGCTCGTGCTCCCCCATACTACGCGAGTAGATCAATATGTCATCTTAGAAGACAATGAAAAATGAGTGGAGATACGGCCTGACCACCTGATTCATCAAATACATAAATGCCACAGGGGCATTATCACGCCGAAG